GGGGGGGGGGGGTTTGCAAATCTAAACTCTATATCTGCACTAATACAGGTCACCTTCAAGAAGTGAGAGGAGCCGAATGTCAACTCATAAAACATTCCTAGGCCTGTTTTAGTAGTTGCCATAAAAAGGGGAGGGGGGGAGGAAGGAAATCTGGAAGAGCAGTTTGAAAGTGGAAGTACATTCCAACTCTTATCTTGAAAAGATTGTAACTAAACTACCATAGCTTTTGCCTGCGAATATATTTAATTGGAGAACGTGATTGATGACACCCAGAAGGGAGGGAGTGGGAAACAGGATCACAGGGGACTGTAAATTACGTATGTCAGAGTTGGCTTCATACAGCGCAGTGCCAGTATGTCGCCTCTAATGAATCCTTTGAAGTTTGGTTCGAGAATCATGATTTAATAAGACCGACTGGTGGAATCCTGACAGAGCCTTTTTTTAAAAAATCAGTAATTCTTGTTATTATTTTTTTTTAAATCTCTCGACAGATCTATACACGTACCCAAGCCTTGTATCCTCACTGAATGTTGCATGGCAATTAGCAACGGAAAGGTGGTCACCAACATCTGCAGCGAGGAGATGAAATGCCTGTGCAAGAAATCAGTGCATTGAAACCATCCACCCCAAAATGTCCTTCTCCCCTCTCCCCCCACCTCCCTTTTTGCAATAAAGGTTCCCCTCATCGGATAACCCATTGGGACCTCGGGAAGCACCTCCGTGAATGAAAATGCCCAAGGGATATATATCTTGTTCTTCAAAGAAATTAAGGCATCCTCTTTTAACGACCTCATAATCCCTTGTGGGGTGGAGTCTGGGCGATGGAATGGAGCGGAGTGTTTTAATGGCCGGATGCTCTTCCTGTCGCCAGTGCGGAGGTTTTGTTCAGCAGATATGTTCTCAGTGTGCCCAGAGAAATATCTGCCTGCACTTAAGATCGAACGCAGAAAATTCAATGCCTGTATCAAATGCTTCCATTCCTTTGATTTTCATTCTTTAATGCTGCTCGTTTATATCTTCCAAATGCTGTTTTTTCCCCCCACTCTTACAATGTCTTAAGAAATTTGAACTATTTCACGGTGACCGTTGATATTTATTTACCTTCTCAGGGATTTCTACTTTTTTTTTTTTTGTTTAGTCTTGTCGCTCCAATTTTCCTTGAGGTTAGCATGCTTGAGAGGTTGATCAATTTCAAGTTACAGTACAGTTTGTCAAGGCTTTGGCACTTAACCCCATTTAAATCATGGAGTCCCAAGCTGAACTTCCAAAACTTAAAGAAGATTTATTAGGAGTAAACATGCCAGCACTGCCTCTGAGACACATCATTCATTGTCTCCCTTGACCCTGGTTTTCCTCCCACCCCCTGGGTGTATCATAATTCACATTCTCCAATGGGACACCTCCATAGCCCAGAGTCACCAATCATGTTCTCCAGTTAGAATTTTGCGCAGCAGAAACTTCAGTCACCTAATTACTATCTTTGAAAACATTTATGGAATGCACTTTTGGTTTCCAAGCTGCCGCACTGCTCTTTCAAACCCCTTTCCCCCCTTCCTTTTCTGTTGGGCAACTCTAAAAAGACCCTAGAAATATTTTATGAGTTGACACAGGTATTGGAAATTTTATTAAGTTTCAAATTACTTACAACAGTTCATTTAGTGACCGTCCAAAGTTACAGCGGCACAGAAAAAAGTGACCTATGAGCATTTTCCACGCTTATCACCATTGCAGAATCTCCGTGGTCACGCGATCAGAATTCACACGCTTGGCAACGGGCTCCTATTTATGACGGTCGCAGCATCCTGGAGTGACGCCATCCCTGTTTGTGACCTTTTGACGAGCAAAGCTAACGGGGAATCCCAGATTCATTTAACGACCGCATCACTAAGTGAATAACTGCAGTGATTCTCTCCACAACAGTGGCAAGAAAGGTCATAAAATGGGGCACAGGGCACATTATGAATGTCTCGCTTAGCAACATAAATTGTGGCCATGTCAAGGACGATCTGTATATAGAGACGTAAGAATGCTTTTTCTTACGGCATTGAATTAGTTAGCACCAGTTGGCTGAAGTTGGGTTGACAGGGCTTAAAGTGTCCATAGTCAGAATCAGAATAGAGTTGGAAGGGACCTTGGAGGTCATCGGAGACCACTGATGGTCCACAAGATAATTTTGGTGGTCCGCAGAGAAATGTCCCCCCCGCCAAAACAATTAATCCAGGCTGCGCGGGAACACAAGGCTGCGCCGCCCACATGGCCCCCGGGAACACAAGGCCTGTGTCGCTTGCATTGTGAACAACATGAGGTAGTGAGGGGAAGGGGGAAAGGGCGGAGGGGGGGAACTCGTCCCACTCGCCTCACACACCTGACCTGGCCACCAGGCTGCTTCTTTCCGCTTCTTTCTTGTTCTACTTTTGGCTGCACGCAAGGAAAGCGGCCAAAGTCTTTCTTTCTCTCCCCCAAACTCCGTCAGAAACGAGTCTTTGGGACCCTGCAAGGCCTCCTGCTCCAAGAAGCTGCGCCGGCAAAGACTCATTTCTGGCGGAGTTTGGGGGAGAGAAAGAAAGACTTCTGCTGCGCCTGCTGCTTTCCTTGCATGAAGCCAAAAGTCTCTCTCCCCTCTCTCTCTCCCCTTGAGAACGGAGCTGGAGACGGTATCCTGCGATCCCAAATAAAGAACGATCGATCGTTAGGAAAACGGGGTGGGGGGATTTCCTGCAGTCTTTTCTTGGGATTTTCCCAGGGTCTCTGGTCTGCGGGATTTAAAATGATGACTTTGGGGTCCCTGAGGTCCAAAAGGTTGGCGACCCCTGGACTAGTCCAACCAACTACTCAAGCAGGAGACCCTATACTATTTCAGTACCCTATGCTATTTGTCCAGTCTCTTCTTGAAAACCTCCCCGTGATGGACCGCCCACAACTTCTGAAGGGAAGCCGTTCCGCTAGTTAATTTTTCTCACTGTTAGGAAGTTTCTCCTTAACTCCAGATTGCTTCTCTCCTCGATTAGTTTCCATCCGTTGTTTCTCTGTGGCAGCCCCCCAAATACTGGAATATTGCTATTATGTCCCCCCCCCGCCAGTCCTTCTTTTCTCTAGACTGGCCAAACCCAATTTCTGCAAACCTGCTTCATATGTTTTAGTCTCCAAGCCTTTAATCACCTTAGTGACTCTTCTCTGCACTTTTCCCAATGTCTCAACATCTGTCTTGTAATGTGGGCATCAAGCCTGAATTTAGTTTGATGGTGGAAGCGTATGAATTCCGTTTGACACGCTTGAGAAATGGAGCGGGTGTGTGGAGAACGGAGGCGGGTGAAGCTCCAGCCCAAACGACACAGCTGGGCGATGAGTCAGCTGCCTTCCAACTGCTGCTCAACCAGACCCAAATGGGCTGGCATTCAAAGCAGTGATGGGATTCAATTGTTTTTTTTACTACCAGTTCTGTGGGCGTGGCTTGGTGGGCGTGGCAGGGGAAGGATATACTGCAAAATTCCCGCTCCCTCCCCACCCCATGAGCCTGCTTTCCAGCTCCATTCTCCTGGGCAGGGCAACCAAAGGAGACCCAGCCGATCAGCTGGGACTCAATGGGAGGCGGAGAAGAGATATGGGGTTGGTGGGGCCAGTCAGGGGTGGGATTTGCCGGTTCTCCAAACTACTCAGAATTTCCGCTACCGGTTCTCCAGAACTGGCCAGAACCGGCTGAATCCCACCTCTGGTTCAAACGTACAGGTGTGAGCCTTCCACCTGACTGATGAGAAAGGGAGCATCGGGTTGGCGTCATCCTTCAACGACGACCTAAAAGTAGACCTTCTCCAGGCAGAGAGCACCCCTGATCTGGACCACCAGGTCTCCGTCGCCTTTCCAGGAGACAGTGCAAACCTTTTGCAAGTTCCATCTCTTTTTCTCACCCTTCTGTAAAACAAGAGTCTTAAACTAAGGCTGGAGTGGTGGAGGGTTTCTCCGCCTAAGCGGGGGGTGGGGGGTTTGGACTAGTAGACCTCCAAGGTCCCTTCCAACTCTGTTACTCTATTCTATTCTGCTCGGAGGGGGCTGCTCCCACGGTCCTTCTGCCTGCAGTTTCTCAGGGACCCCTTTTGTTCTATCGCCAGAACAAAGCAGACTCGAGACCGGAGTTGAATTCAGCTCTTTATTGAACTAACAGTAACTTCAACTAAAGTCGAGCCGCGGCAGCCCTTTTTATAGCGGCTGCTCGCGGCTCGCAACCAATGGCATTTATTTAAACTTCCCGCCGCTTAGGCGGCCAATCGGATCTGTTGTTATCAACCAATTGCCCAGCGATGGTATCCGTCCAAGAGGAATGCAGCATTACGAGTATGCAAACCACGTACACCACACCTTTCCTCTCCTACTGGGATTCTGGCACTGCTGACTCTCCGTTAGGAAGAAGTATTTTCGCCACCTTCGCAGGAGGGTTGAAGGGCTCCACGTCCCCCAGAATCAGGGCCTTCTGTAAGGTTTCTCGCTGGGTCTGGCTCAGCCTGGGGGCATCGTGATGGATTCGGATCCATGGAGTTCCTGGAAGGACAAGGGGGAGAGAGCAAGGAATCCCATTTGCTTCTGGCACTGAGGACATAACCTGGCCCGCTTGCTGGGTAGGCGTGCCCATGGTGGGCGTGGCCTAGTCAGCCTCCTGCACCGTGGTGGTGAGG